CTCGCTGCTATTGGTGTATTCTTCTAGATCATCCAATAGCAGTGAGCGCTCACGGATCCACTCCACAACAATTGAGTTTGCTGAACGCGACCAATATTCCGTTCACATTCCGTTCTGCTGTTTCTTTCTCCATGGGGACGCAGCCTAAAAATGTACACACCGCATTCGGCGACGTGAGACCTTCCAATCAGCGACGACATCCGTCAAAAATCTGGCAACTCTGGGCTCTGGGACGAATGCGTCGCAAGCAGTCGCTAGTAAGTCATCTGACCTGACAAGTTCTTATTTAGATTTGTTAATTCAAACCGAATCTACTCCGAAGACAGACTTAAGACCATTTTATGTCGAAGAAGAAAAGATTTGATTCAACATACACTTTGCTCTTCACGTTCGTTTAATGTTCTCAATGGAACGTTTGCTGTTTTTGAGTGCATTAAAAGTTGGAAGTCGCACCCACATAATATGCGTGTATATCAGTGTATATAAACTATGATATAAAAACGTATACGTAAAAATGAATGATCGTAAGTGTATCTTGCAGTTTGCTTGTGAAATGTGATGAAATACTTTGCTCGACATATCACTCAAGAAAGGTCTTTTTATCGTGAATAATTGAGTGTGCTCTTTATTGCTGATTGATCTCCCGATAAAATTCCCATGAAAATCTCATTGAACCATTCAATTTTCTTCCTAATTTTGATGGTAAATGATGTGAATGTATTATCTGCCGTCAAGACGTAAAACCTCAATTAATGTTTGAACACATGAAAAAATGTTTATTTGACAAATCTCTAACTTTTGTCAATTTTGTGATAGAACATCCTGTATATGGATACCTTTAAAAGAAAAACTTAATTCATTTTTTGTGTTTGAATAAAATGGCATAGATGTAACAAATATCAATTTTGGAATATGAATTAATAATCAAAGGCTTTGACACAAAAAATAGAAGACAATAAAGACGTAAAACAGTAAGCAACTCGGGCAAATATAGTAGAGACATATGGTCTGTTTTCTATACTAGACTGCACTAGCATTCTTTCTCGTTTTTCACAAATATTAAACATATACCTATCTGACTTTAATTTCCAAAAATGCACACTAGTTTAGCCACAGAAAACAGATCTATAAGACAATGACATAAGCAATATTAAATCCAAAATGTTGATTTGCTTACTGCTTATGTCTTGCTGCTTGAAACATTGGCTGCATTCAGCAGATTCAGCAGTTTTGCAACTGTTTTATGATTCGTCCTGCTGATTGGATTATACTTTTAGATTTAAAGGAATAGTCCTATCTCAGCGAAGAATCACAAAACGGTTGCAAAACTGTTGAGTCTGCTGAACGCAGTCATTTTGAATGCTTTATAGGCTTTCTATAAGCTTCAATAAGCTATTACTTAAGTAAGTCATAAAAAATTAACCAGGAAGGCTCCGATTGCACACATTGCATATTGTACACATGCGTTACTAATTGGCTAATTTAAAAATAAAATATTCTCATTGGTAAAGTAGTGAAAAATTACTAGGCACCAGCTGATATGAGTGGTGTGTGCAGACAGGATCCTCCCAATTAACTAATCACAGTCGAATGTTAGAAGAATAATTGATTATGTTTGGTCAATTTCTTATGGCTTAAGATTTAAAGCTTAGGTAATGACTTATTGTAGAAAATCCGTTAATGAACTTTCTATAATAAGCCATTATCTAATCTTTAAATCTTAAGTCATAAGAAATTGACCAATTATAGTCGATTATTGTTCGTAATTGACTGTGACTATAGGTCTGTTCGCGTTGCTCGCACTTTTTGCACTCGGCATCTTCACTTTCTCTCTTTTCAAAGCCAAATATATACCTATATATTTCGGATATGCTTTCGGTGTTCAGAAAGTCTGATTTTTAATTTTCTCCCCGTTTGTCCCACATAGGAAGCATCGCAATCACAACAATTGATTTTGTAGACTACATTCCTTTTTAATTCATTATTTAAAGAATCTTTATGAACCTTAATAAACTCATTTAACGAAATCCGTTATCAGCGACTCCAAAACCCCCGGATACTGCTTTTCATGAAAATTGAAGAAATTTTGAGATTTTGGTCCACTATATTGGATCGGCCATTTTGAATTTTGAAAATCTACTGATTCGTAATCAGCAACCCGAAAAACCTTCGGATACAAATTTTCAAAACAGTCGGTTACAAAAACATACCAAAAACCCTGACACAAAAGGTTGAAAAACATAAAAAATTCAATTTGCTCTATTTCAGTGAAAAAAAGTTTGATCATAGCAATCTAATATGCGTTGGAAAGAATAAGAATAACACTTTAATGTGACACCTGGCTGGATGCTGAAAAAAAATTTTTAGACATTTTATAAGTCGTTGAAAATGGCCAAAAACTTCATTTTTTGCACCTTTAAGTTAGAATGTCTCAAAAACTTGACGTGATACGACATTTTCATGACTAGATTCGTAATCAGCGCATCAAAATCTATCAGAAACAACTTCGTTTACTTTAAGGCCAAAAAAATGTTGAATTTTTGTCGACCAGTAGGGATAATAGACATTCTTACACTTACCTATGTCGAGCAAAGATACTGAATCATTTAAATTTAAGCTAACAATAAGAAAGACATAATTGAAGCAATTACATACAATAACATTGAAGTAAAACTTATGACATGATAAATATCTTTCTAGATATTAGAATAAGAGCACATTTTTTAAAGTAAGCATTTCTAAATGTTTCCAAAGACTCTTTATTTGGTGATTATACATACCCAAAGGATACAAAAGAAAACGGAAACATGGATAGAGGACATGGTGCCACCTACGTAGGAAGTGATGGCCACTTACTCGAATACTGGGAAGAATATCAGAAAATGATAGAAGAAACAAAAATGTTGGATGATTATTTAGATGAAGAATGTAGCTCCCGAAGTTATGATGGTATGTACAAGATAATTTAAGCTACACATATGGTGTCCTTGAATTTCCATATACGAAGTACAAGACGTAGTACTTTATGCTAAAACAAACAATTTTTTCCTTTAATAAAATTGTGTCTGGCAAGTGAAGAGTAGACTTTAAAAATGCATTTTATTCAAAATATCATTTCTTAAGTTAGAGATGGCATAGTGTTCAATAATAAAAGACACATATTATAAGCTAGTTTCCTTGTGGCTTTCTTTTTTATTTTAAAAAAATTATAAATTTTGGACAAAACGCATTTTGAAAGTCTGCTCGTCAAGTAATTTTTACAGAATAGCTGGTTTTCGTACGTTTGTTTCCTTTTTTATTTCAACTCTATTACAATAAAATATCATATATTTAATAGTTTTTGAGAATTAACATTAAAACATTAAAAACGATCATTATGCATCTCTTTTATGGAAAAAATTTTATTCACTTCATTCACATTTTTACGTATGTTCTCTTCATGTTTATGGAAACTGATTGCTCCATGTGATTCTGTGCAAAAACTATAAAAACTATAAAAAACACATTTTTCACATTCCGGTTGGATACAAAAATCGCTTTATTCGTTCCTTTAAGAATTTAAATCTAACAAAACTAAGTAAAATGTATGAAAATCTTAAAAATAAAAAGTTGTTATTATGCTGCAACTTAACATTATACATTTTAAATTTATAGAATGAATATTTTTGGATTTTTTTGACAGAAGGAGAGGAAGAAGCTGAATGGTTACATGCAGCTGGTTTAGGGCAATTAACAGAGGCGTGGAAGGCAGGCAGGGAAATTCAACCTGAGGAATTAGGAGCTGTTTTGCGTCCTCTGTCACGAGCTCAAGCAGAAACTGTAAAACGTCGCGTGAGATCGCTTAATCATACAGTTAAACAATGTTTTAATCAACGCCAACGTGTTCGCAAACCAGACATTAGAGATGTCTTTAAAGATGTAGAGGTATATTGATAAATTAATGGATATTAAAAAATTAAAATATATATCTTTGATTATATAAGTATAAAGCAAGTTAGTTGGGAAATGTTATGTGTATATATGGTAATAATTAAGTACTCTAAGATTTTAAGGAGTGACTCCTCACACTAAATCAAGAAAAAAATTTCATATAACCATATAATTCGCAACGGCCTATAGTTCTAAAGATACAAACTGTCCAAGTTAAAGGCAAAATATTTTTTCTACACGACAAGGTGTAACACGGCGTATCGACGAGATATTATTAAAGCCGTCGGCAAATTTTCGTGACTATCAATGGAACCTGGAGGAGCCCGGGAATAATTGAAGAACGATAACGTTACCGACAATTAATAAAAATTTATTAACATAAATATTTCGATAATACATTATTAAATTCGTAACTTTTTATTATATAAATGCTGTAATAGTATCCGTCTTTAATAATATCCGTTACCGTCTTTAATAATATCCGTTACCGTCTTTAATAATATCCCGTCGGACACGGCGCAGGCGCAAGAGAATTGTTCCCGGTCATAGCGACGTGGCGCAACGGCGCAAAGGAAATAAATTATTTTATATAAATTG